TAATGATAGCCATATATACAGACACTTTGTGCAGACGGACATTGTCACCAGCCACCCTTCCCCCTCCATCATAGAGCCAGGACGCCATTTTCGATTCACCTACAGCGGCCACAAAAAGGGTTGTTCCAATGCCGAGCAAGCGCGGATCACAGCTGAAGCTTGACTCCTACGGATATTGCGGCTAGGAGAATATGCAAATATCCGCCAACGAAATTCAACACGATGCATTAAAAATAGCACATCACCAATACGGAAATTGAGTACTAGTTAATGAAAACTTTTTCGCATTTGATACAACTCCTTCTCAATTCTGCAGTTTTTCGCACATGGTGGCTCGTTTCTTGCTTCTGCAGGGAAGCCGAGCATATGCGGTGAAGACCATATGTTGCGGTGAAGAACGTTACCCCATTAGCAGAACGGCTTGCCGCCATACCCAAGATTGAATTCACTGCGAGTAGCAGAACTGAAGCAGAACAGGATGAGAAGATCCGTAGCCAGGATTGTCAAAACATTAGCGAGGTGGAATCTCAGGGAGCCTCGAAACTGTGAGGAAATATAACAAGTGCACTCTCGTTCTTTATCATTTCCTTAATTCTTTTGTGATTTTATGTCAAACCTCTTTTGCTGTTTTTTCCCCTTCTGTCTCCATGTTCTTTCAGCGCATCAAACTGTATACAGATAAAATCGAATGGTTCTGTACATTTTCCCTGCTCAGATTCCATTTTCCGATATTCAATCTAAGAAATGATACTAAGTGCAGATGTCAGCAGTAGTCACAGCCCAAACCTATACTGGCGAATTAATGTCCGAAGTACATATTGCGGTGTACATACAGCTCGCTTTAAACAGTGTGAAATTGGCCCCCAAATACAGAAGTGATTCGGAGGTTTTCCTTTCATTGTATCCAATTAACGCGGCTTTTAATATATTTATGCGGTGAGCAAAACAATCAACGCTTCCTCGAACTTTCTCTCGAGAGCAAGATGGCTCTTTATTAGGTATTAGGTGTGGTGCCTGTGTATCATCCCACAATGCAAGGAACTGTGCAACTTGACGTTCTCGCCAGCAGCCCCATTGTAAAACAGTGCATAACTACTACACTCAGGCGACAAGTTGAAGTGTTGATTTTTGCAAGCACCCAAGTTGGGAGCAGCTCCAACAAAGAAAGCAAGCAATTTTTACCTCTGAGTCCAATTTGGTATGACTTAATTAATCGAGACCAATCTCACAGGGAGTTTCGAAAGTCTACCTAAACGGCATGTAACATCATGATATAAAGAAGTAGTTTTTTAATTTCATGTGCTTGTACGGAGTATGTGTCCTCCTTACAAGCATAACCTGAAAGCTGCAAAAAATATTGTTACACGATTATATAAAAATTTACTGTGCAAGTTACTAAATTTAAAAATTAAAATTTCTTTATTTAAGCCAAGTTGTTTTGGCGTCATCCTCAGCCACAGAAGCGCATCGACGTAAAAAAAAAGAAATAAAGCCTGAAAATTAATAATGAAGCGACTTTATGCAGCAGGGGTTTGACATAGGAATCCAGTTAACCGTCACGAACTGTGGCATCTCCCGCCGCCACTAGCTAATGATCTGGTCAGGCAGTAATCAGCGCCATGAGGCGATGTGAGATTGAACCCAGGGCGTGAACACTTTAGTCATTACGGGGCAAGGTCTGACAATTAGCTCGAACACTAGACGTCAGGAATTTGAAAAGCGGGCGCCGGGACAAAAATTTCGCAAACCTTGATATTGCGTGGGCGGCGTTCACACGGGGGTTTTAGCATTGAATTACATACAGCTCAGGCGGCAATCTCGAAAGTAAATTGAAAATCTCCTTCCAGGATTCCCCATATGTCTGGAGGGACACAGCATATCCACGACCATGTGGAATGTATCAGGTAGCCATCCGGCCGGATCCCCCTTTCTGACACAGCCCATAGTTACGGGCTGCCACACACGATAGTGGTTTCCAGGATAAAGACAGGCCAACTTGTGGAATTGTGACCAAAACGCCATTTATATCATTTGATTCCTGTAATTGAAATCTGCAGGATTCCCACCTTAATGGTAAAATTAACGCAGAAGTCAGAGCATATGCCCTTCGCACAACAGCGTGTGGCTATGCGTCATATCGATGCAAGCCGTCGCCTAGGCGGTGAAGTCACCGCTACATGTTCCATCATGATCTTCGATCGCGAAAGCCTCAACACGGTTCAATAGCCAAAGTAAAGATGTACAGGAAACAACTCCCATCAGAAAATCCTTCCGCCACTTCGATCTAGAGTGGCATCAACAAACGCAATGAATTTACAAGCATATGCTGCCTAAGATGAGCTTTGTTTGCCCAACTCTATGCAAGCAGCGGAAAACGTCTTCTCAAAATATGTAAGGGTTGACTAGTTCGAGTAGAAGGTCTCCCTCTTTTGCCAGGATAAACTTGTGGTGTTCCAGGTTTTCAAAATGGGATGACGGAAAGGACGCAGAATAGAGTTGTGTGCCCCTTCAAATTCGAGCCACATATCCGCATTCGGGCCATAATGAATATGTGGATCTGAACAAAACCCCCAGACAAAGCGGGCTACCTGTTCGATAATGTTTAGTTAAAAATTCTCTGGGCATCTTTAAATATCTCCCGGATGCGGCTGAAAAACGACCGGGGCGTTCAAGTTCTATGTTGATGTTCGGTTCCAACCCTTCCAACCCAAAAGAAGTTCGTCAATACAGTTCGGGCAAGCATTATGGAACTGCCGGAAAGAAGACACGCAAACTTGGGCAACAAAAAGGTGGCTTCGGGTAAACTCATCTTCTCATTGACCGATTTGTTGTGCTCTTTTGCTTCATGCTTTCCAGCATTTGCCCACTGTTTCCCTATCACACTATCAAGAATCGTTCATGCAACTGATGAACCGCGCCAGTGTCCATGCATATGATTGGAGAGCTAAGGGCTTCGCATCTGACTTTTAGTTCCCCTCGCAGCTCGAAGCGAGAAGTGCTGATCATTGGCGGAGACGTTGGCGGACGATCACCCTGCGGCAGCAACCAAAAAACGCCCATTTGTCAACTTAATCCGTGTAATAAAAATTTTGACAGCACCATGAGGCAATACCGTATGTGAATATTATTTGTCAGAGCAACAATCTTACCCATTGCAGACTCTTGGGGCATTGTAAGTTGATGGATTGGTCTGTCGCGTTTTCCCCTTCTGGTTGAATTGAAGTTTTCAAACACCTGATTAGTTCGCTGACACTTTGGCCGAAAAATACATCAATAGTAAATACTGCCTGGTATTGACACGATCCTTGTTTTCGCTTGTGCTGTACCTGGTCAACTGATTTCTGCATTGATTTGAAAACTGCCTTATCGGTGATCTTGTTTTTGACAGGCACAAGGGTTGCTGGCAGATTGTAGAGGAAAGGTGTCGAGCTAAAACTGTTCGAAATAATATCAATCCTAAGCCAGGCAGACAACCTCCTCAAAAATAACACATAGATAAAATGTTCCGGATTGATGTGTTTGATTTAATTGATCAGTAGATTAACTGATCCTTAACTATCAATATGCAATGGAAGCATGAAACGTCAGGGAGGTCACTCAGGGAGGTCACTCAGGGACGAACGGATCTGTTAGCGAACCACTTACACGGGTGATATAAACCCATTCGGAATTGTTGTATCTACTATAAGTGCTTTCGTTACTACCCGAGAATAAAAGGAGGGTAGCCACGATATTTATTCTTCTTCTATCTGGAGAAAATCAAATTTAAGTATGTTACATAACATAAAAAGCTTTAATATAATAATATACTAGTTATTTGCAAAATAAAGGTCGCCGGGATTAAGAGGAGTAATAGCCTGGCTACATCTCCATATGCAGTTATGTGTTGTCCCTCAGGCTTGACGAAGAGTACGCATGGAGATATGTCGTAAATTATGTTAATCAATTCTCGGTAATAACTTACATCATATGGTAATCAGTTGGTACAGAGGCGTCATGTCTGGCTACATCGTACGCCCGTAAGGTTCGAGGAATTCTATTATGATAGGGAATATGGAAGTTAAATGTTTTCAGCGCATGTAAACATCGTTGAAGACCCTTGATATTGATACGCAAGTTGCTGGAAGTCCACGGTGTAGTTTTCAGAAGAATTAACGATGCGGTTGTGAAAAGTAAATAAATGTATAGTATTCGATTGACCCTTTCCCTTTTTTTTTAAGCATTCTGCTAATAACTTTCTTGATATAGATTAACCATCATGTGGACAGAGAGGGTTTCTTGGAAACAAATGATACTTTTTGAGCTTCCGCTTTTCTGGTAGATCAGTATTCCTACAGCTAACAGGTCTTCCTCATTTTGCTTCTCTCAAATGAGAATGGATGGGTGGCTTCCCAAGGTGTCGCCACGGCGAACTTCTCTTCTGTCATGAAAATCCAAGATATCTGGAAGAACCATTGAGAGAATATACTATTTGTCGTGAGCCTCAAATTCCCCTGTTTATTTTGTTGAGTGAAAATAAATCGCGAGGTTCAAGATAGAGCTTTTCAGGAAAGCAAATGTATCATTGAAAATAATCGGGCTTGAGCCATATCTCGGCAGAATAACGGCAGTTTCCGGTTTCGTTGTCAGTATGGCATAACGCAGCAGAGCGATCATACACACCCCCTTCTTGAAGTGTATGGCTCCGAGCAAGAAAAGTATCATGATGTAACAGTTATTTCACAATGTTGGTTGCAAAGTGGACGAGCCAAGATGATATGGTACCCAGTATTGAATATCCGATCTTGAATGTAGAATTACCTAGTTCGTGTCTCGTGCTCCAAAGGTGCTGTACATACTCAATCAAACCACGGATCGACCCGGATCGGACCAAGGTTCAGAATAAGGTTTTGGTGGGCCCGCGATCAGGTGAACCAAACTAGTTACGGTCGTCGGGTGTGGTTTTTGGTTTTGCGTGAGTTAGTTTAGAGCACTAGAAGCCAGGGAAACGCAATGCCACTGGCCGGCTGGCGTAATGGCTAACGCATCCGTTTCCGGCTCCATCTTCAGATTCACATCTGATGTTTTCCTGTCTGCGGAAGATTGCAGGTTCGAGTCCTGCGTCGGTCGTTCTTATTTTTTCGTTCTTATTTTATACTGATACCATATTTTTATTTATATTTATCTTGTGTTGCGTCTTCCATAAACCTTGGTATACTTACTTAATACTGGTTGAATTTTTACGGACTAACATTCTCAAAGTGTAATTAACGGCAAGTTCAAATCTATTATCCCAATTCCCTTCCTCCATTACAGCAATATTCCTAATTATGGCGATTATAAGCGATTAATTCATTATTGATAAATATCAGGTTTCACGTCGAAGAGAGAAGATCTAGACCTGTCTCTTCTCACACATTCGAATAATCCTTGCCTTGGTAATCCATTCTCCGTAAGGAGTCCATCACCTAACAATCTAAAAATATCTACCATTTACCATTTAGTTTCGGGGTTTTACTGCTGTGAGTTCACTACTAATTAGTACCATTGGGCGAGTGTCAAAGGGAACCGGTGTTTCATAAATATATATATATATACTCCGCACCCAGTTTCAGCCGGTGGCAGAATTCATATCAATGGCTCGTTTCAGTTTGATGTTCAAATTATTTATATCTGCTCCCTGTATGGTGAGCGTTTTGATATCCCCTGTTGAAGCCACTGAGGTGGTTTATCTGGTGGGGACAGTATATCTCGCTATATAAAGGATTTTACATGCATGGTTAAAATCCATCATAATAGCAGGGGATCAGCAACCAAACTGTGGAAATATTCGGGCAGATATAGGGTGGTTACTTTGCTAGCTCTGTTCGATTTCTACTCCTCCGGATTTCTCACGCGACGCCCAGCGTGCCTGACGGAAATACCCCCTGTGAATAAAAGAATTCACAGCCTAGAATGAGCCGTGGAACGAGGGTATTTCGAAAAATCGCGATGGAGAACAGAATACTCGTTAACTTGCGATATCGCTACTCCTGTCAGCCCTACGCTGCTGTTTTACGGAAGTTCATGGATAGCACGACGAGAATCACAATGGTTACTCAAACCCCTTTCCAGCAGAACTTACGAACCAGTGGAGCACTGCAAATGGTTGGTGATGACGTTTCCGTCACAATGTGACTGTGGCAAATCCATCCTAAACCGCCTGATCATCACGGCTGCAAGCTAAGCTGTAGAGCCCAACGCTCCCATATGTATTCCTGCTGCCGTTCCGGTCTTGATAGGAATGGCAGTGTCGAATGGATAGTTATATGAAGAAATTTCTGAGGTGATGAAATGCCAGCGAAAGCAAAGCTTAAGGAACAAAGATATAATTTGCAACATGATGTTACAACCAAAGGTATTTGTGGTATCTTAACGTTTGCAATCATTCATGAACCATTGCGACTCTAGAAGCTGCAAACTTCTATTAGGTTTGCCCATCTTAGTTCCGGGCCCACGCTTCCATCAGGACCAAGAGTATCGGTACAGGTGGAGTCCTTGAAGTCGTCAAGAGAAAGAACCAGTATTTCGGGTACAGCATCGCAGCTTGCTAGCTTGTTTGTGCAGGTCAAAATAAGCCTTCACAGTTATAGGTCAAAGCTGCGAGGCCTGTTGGGGCTGCTTGGGATTAAAAGCGAAAGATTCATTCGTGTACGGGTGAACAAATCCGTAGCCGATTTCTGGATAAAACTAGTCTAGCATCGCGGGAGCGTAAGGCATCAAATCAAAGTGACAGAAATAAAAACACCCATGGATTGGAAACTTGACACCTTACTTTGATCAGGAGTGAAGCGGAAGAGGTGGAGGATGGTACCGATGACCACACACCAGTGAACACCCCAGCCAGCCAAGACATGCTTTGCAGACCTGAAAGTATGAGGAACTATGAAGGCTAAAATGTGGAATCCTCTTTCTGTTGTCACCAGTCTAAATTCCCTTTGGGCATCCGCTTCGCCACGGTGTACACGTTGCAGATGCTGTCTTTATGACAACTTTGACAGAACAGGGCGAACTTTCACTCCTTCATTTTCGTATGACAGCAGTTCGCGCCATCCTACTGTGTAAGGGTCTAGCGCACTCGGAAGGAACCTTGTCAGTTGTCGAAGTGCATTGATGGTGCCACGCCTTCGGGGCCTGACTCGCAATTCGCCAGGCAGCAGGAAAGATGAATCCGAGCCAGACGAATATGCATCTCTCCTGGTGGGTTCCGAGCAGCCCACATTGAAAGATTGGATAAAGAGACTCGAAAGGGAAAAGGGGGTCTATATCGTTCTCCAGCTCATCATCCAAAAGCTCGGCCATATTTTCCAGATATCAGCATCATTTATCTTTCTCATTTTCCTTTTCCTTCCATTCTCCATTTTTTAATTTTTAGGAAAATGCATCATTACCATAGTGAGGCTGCGCCAGTCTACTCATGCACATGTGCATGCTACCCGAGAGTCAGCAACATACTTTTTCTTTTTTTTTCTTTGGCGGTGGGGGATCAGCCTTTGATAAAAACAGGACGAACTGGCTTCCCATGGCATAAAATGGTGCAAAGTTTGAAACGGCGTGTATGTAGGATTTGAGTGATAGATGCCCAACGAAGCCCAGCACGGTCGGTAGAGTACATGGTGTGGGCCTGATCCACAGTCTCGCGCTATTCAATTACCGCGAGGCAGTCTACTTACTCGGGAGAAGGAAATGGTGGGAGCGGTCAGTCCTTACACATTCATATGCTTTGTACCGCTGATCATGGTTGAACTGGTGGAGCGGGAAGAGGTTTGCAGGGCTTATTGCATCCAAATCTTTTTGGAGAACGAATTTTGGATAAATAAGCGGAATATTATTATTGTGCGCTGCTGCTGCATGTCCTTGATCCTTGGTATTCTTGATGAGTTGGCCTTAGGGTCTTCGATGCTCCAAAGGCGGTGAACGGTTCAACGCCATTGGATCGCCTGGGCCATAGTAGGAGGAGTCGAGAACCTCCAAGGGTTCAAGTCACAAAACTCTCCCAAGTTGTTTTTGTGAACAAGGTCTCATCTGTAAAGCCATTTGTCTTCGATGCCTGAAAGGAATGGGTATCTTTTATCAGGCCCTTCTTTCTTAGAATCCTGGAAATTCGAGAGACGGGAGTGCAGGGGGGAAAAGTAGTATGTCCTCCCACTAATCAGGTAATATAAAATTCAGAAATCTGCCTGTTCACGGCAATGCTTGGACATACCCCATGTACTTATACATCGAATCCCTTGGATGCTGTTTGGAGAGAGCAGTTGTCGTTCAAACCCCTCATGATAGGGCTTGGGCGGAGGATTGCGATTTGTTGCTCAGCCCGCAGCAGCACACGGTCATGTGATTTAAAGCGATGACCATGATTTACGAATATAAACAGATGAAATTTCAGGTGGCATTGTATCAATCAGCTCGGGGAACTATGGATGGACGTGGAAGACACGTAAAAATCAAAGCCAATACATGCACTTTCAATGATACATGAAGTAACCAAATACGCCCTCGTTAAAATGTAAAGAATTCCATGACATATCAAAAACAACCCTCCGAAATGCACGACACCCATATCTCGCCTGGCAAAAATGCCGATCAAGAAAGAGAATAAAAGGAAAACCTCGCTGTCAACAGAATGTGACCTGCAGCGTATGCTGAGCCTACTAAAGAAAAGGGGAATGGGAAAAAATCTCGCACCCATGATCATTCTCACCAATCAACAGATCGATAGCTTTTGGCAAACAAATACATAGTAATGCTCAATTCTGCTTCGGTCTACCTCTCCTCTTACCCGATGGTGCCTCCGCAGGCATTTCTGGAGGCACGGAAGTGGGTTCGGCACTATCACTTTCGCCCTCCTTGTTCAAGGGCACACATCCCTGGGTAAAGAAAATCGCAGCAGGCTTGTCATAGTCATTTGCGAAACTATAATTATTTCCTGTAAAGCCCAAAGGATGGTAATGTTAGTATCTCGCTGTGTCGCGGTCAAATTGACTGGCAAGAGCAGCATATGGGGGGAACGGGAACAGGAGGGGCAATTGTAGCTACTAACCCCGAGGAACCTGGAAAACACAACCCTTCCCAGCACTGAATTGAAGTCCTGACACATCAACCCGTATTCGACCGTGGTATACGAAGAACACCATGTGCATTTTTTTAGAGTTCTTTTGTCTCTTGACGGCGCCAGGAGGCATATCAACGAATCCAGAACCCAGAAAGAAATTGTTGAGGATTTTCGCGAAGCGGAACGTGGAGTCTTTCACTTCATGCGTTTCTATTGCGGATGGGGCAAAAGCGACATCTATATGCGAAAGTCAGTGAACATAGCCCTGAACATAGCCCTTCAGTTCAAGCAATTTTGAACGGAGTAAACATACCTATCATCTCCTCTTCCTGGGTGGCGGTCTGGGTTACTGGATCCCACTTCTTGACAGGGCCGTAAAACACCCCCTGCTCCGTTTCCCATGGCTCAGAGTTATCTATATCATCTTCATCATCGGATGGGTCATCCCTGGATCTTTTAGACCTAGACTTGGATTTTGACTTCTTTTTTGATGTCCGTTTCGCCTTGTGTCTCTCAGTATCCTGTTCTTCTATTCTAATGATTTCTTTGATCGTCGACAATGGGAAACGTTGTCCGACTTCCGCAGACCCATCTCCATATACACACCGTTCGTTGCGCCAATATGCTAGTGGTCGCACTGATACTCGCCCAGAACGAGTATGTTGTGCAGATTGATCTGAAGGCGTTTCTCTTTTAAGAATATACAAACTTCGATTCTTCAGAGGCCCATTCCGGCTTGTGATGTTCTCCACGACTGAATTCAGTTCTCGTTCCTGCTCAATGGACATGTGTAAATTTGATCTTCCATACGAACTAGTCGTTTTGGCCCTCTTGGGCGCTCTGGAACTTTCTGCCCCCTCAACATCGTGATATACTTCCGTAGCTGCGGCTTTGGGCTTTCTTCCTCTCCGCTTCGGTGCAGGGTTATCTGTTACATCAGGGGCGATGTCCGAATCCACTTCATGTTCTCTCGGTCTCTGCCTCGGAAGTTTGGTATTGGAGGAGTTGCTCGGCATATTCTTGCGCTTCCTCCCTGCAG